CGGGCCGAAGGCCAAGTCGCTACTCTCGTTGCCGCTGGCGCGCGCTGCTGCCTGACAGCATATAGCCGCTCTAGCTACGCCTCCGCCATGTTGCGCCGGCCCTTTAGCGGCGAGAACGCCTGGCCCTGCAAGCAATGGCCCGCTCAAGGTTCTTGGGTTCTTGACGGAGTCTGCCGCAGGGAAGGCCATGCCCGGCGTCTGCTTTGCCGCCGACTTCGCAACCTCCGTGGAGCTCGCCAGGATGCGGCTCTTCCCATGCGCCCTGGCGACGCAGGCAGCGCGAGCAGGCAGGGCGCGACCTGGGCCGTGGGCCCCTGGCGCCCGACGCAGCAGTCGTCGAACGTGATCGTCAGCGTGACCCTTGGTTCCAGTTGGCGCCAAAGTATATCATTTTCGCCCGCGAGAGTAAGACAACCACATACGCGCAGCCTGCCCGCGCGCGAGCATCCCGCGACGAGCCCAGCATCGAGCGCGTGCGCGTCGGAGGCGTTCCCATCCTGCATGAACCTCCTTTTGCCCGCGCGCAGCGTCGGCGCCATGTTCAAGAAGCCATTCGGGTAATTGCTCAAGGCTCAAGGCGCCCTTCTCCTGAATGATGGCCAGGTCCACGAGCTCATGCGCATTCCACAAGTGGATCAGCGCTGCTGCTGCGTGCCCCCCCGTGCGCGGGGCGATTCAGAATGCGGACCTCGCCCCCTTGCTTTCCCCTCGGCTGCCCGACCCTAGCCGCCCCGGGAGGCCCCGGCCGTGCCCGGGTCGACCTGGGAAGCCGGCGCGGGAGACCAGTTGGTCTGAAATTCGCACTGCGGTTTGGGGGGCATGGCCACTGGCGAGTCCGTGATCGCGTCGGGCCATCCTCCAAGCGCCTTACATCTTATGCCGGAGTCGAATATGGCCTCCAATATCTCGTCGCCGACCTCTCTGGGCTTAAGACAGTTGCCCGCGCTCGTCTTGCGTCTGGAAGTCTTCGCCTTCGCCTTCGCCTGGGTAGCCCAAGGCCTCGGCAGTGCGAGTCCGTTCCTGGGGGGGCCTGGGCCCGGGCGGGTCTCCGCCTTGGCGGGCCCTCCAACCCTCCGCGGCCCAATAGCATCGGCCACTGCGCGAGCCCGATCAAATCCATGATCTGGTGCCCCCCCTGAACTTGTCGTCTGGCGACCAGCCTCGCGGCCCCTCTCTGCGCGCGCTGCGCCCCCCGCGCCGCTCCCCGTGGACGCGTTGATCTACTCTTTGAACCCTTGGCCGCAGATGGCCGCGAAAGCCGCGCCCTCCACCTCGGCCTCCTCGCTGGCCCCGCCGCGTGCTGCCAGGTCCGCTCTGGCCGCGCAGACGTACAGGTCTCAGCGGCTGCCCCATCGTGCTCGGCGCGCTGGGGCCGCTGCCGCCGGCGCCGCCGTCGAGGCAGCCATTGCCGCGCTGGCTGCAGCTCTCGACGCCCTCGTCGCCGGGGTCTGATTGCTGCCCGCCGCGCGCTCGAAAGAACTGTTTGGCTGCTCTCGCGTAGGCGCAGAGGGCCGCGTTTGCCGCCGCCCACTTGCCCGTTTCCTCCTCCCTGAGCGGGGCGAACATCTCCTGGTGTGTCCCCCGTTCGGGTGTCGATGCCGCCAGAGTTTCCTTGCGCGGCGGCGTGGCTAGCTCCTGGCGGCGTGCTGTTCTGTCGCTGCATGGCCCTGCGGCTCGCTCGGCCGCCCACGCCGTCGCTCTCGCGCGGGCCCGGGCGCCTGGAGGCGCAGTGCTCGAAATTGTCCACCCGCCCCTCATCTGAAGCCGCGTCTTTTTTAAGCTGCGGGCAGGGGGCGCCCGCCGGCGGGCCCCCCGAGCTTGCGACCCGCGCGTGCCGGCCCCGTTTCTGCGGAGCTCCAACCGCCGCCCGTCGTGCAGGTGCCGTCGCTGGGTTGACTTCGATGGGCTGCGGATGCCCTCCAGGTAGGGGGGTGCCGCCGTCTCCCCGCCCGCCCAAACGTCTCCTGGAGTCGAGTTTAGCGCGGGCGGTTCGGCGCGGCCCCTCCTCCCGCCCAGCGGGGGCCAGCCGCCTTGCCTCGTGGGGGGTCCGAATGGCCCCCGCGCCTCTCCTCCACGCGGCCTCGCAGACGTCTTCAAGCGTCTGCTTGGGCCCGTTGAAGTCCGCAGCCAAGCCCGTCGCGACGTGCGTCGGGGGGCCCGGCGCGCGGGAGATGCGCGAGACGCAGTATGCCAACCTGTCCTCCTTGTCCTCGAATGCGCGGGGGTGGCGGAGTCCGAGATCCACCCTGTAGCTCGCCTGCCCAACGTCTCGACGCAGCGCTCCTTTGCCCGCGGCCTTCGCACTTATATGGCTGGCCTTCGGCCCTTATATGCACGCAGCTTCTTGCGCTTATATGGCTGGCCTTCGGCCCTTTTGAGAGCCCGGCCTTCGCTGCGCTGCCGAGGGCCCACGGCGGTTCCGAGCCCCCCCTTTATAGAGGTGCTCCTCCGCTTCCCAGATCTGGCGCGACCGCGCCGCATCGTGTTCCACCGAACTGCGTATTGATTGGCTCGCGCTGGAGGCGTTGCTCAGGTCCTTGCGCTCGTCAGCCGTGGCCCTGGCGTCGCCGTGGCCCCATTGCCTCTCAGGAGGGGGTCCTGCAAGCGTGATCTTCGGAATGGCCGTCAGCCCCGTCGGGCGGCGCGCCGCCCTGGCGCCGCCGCGCCCCCGCGTCGGGGTCGCGACCCCCGCGCGAGGCCTGCGCGGGTTGGAGCGGCCCTTGTCCGTCAAGTCCAGGCGCTGGCAGCCTTTTGCTCTGTCCGCCAACTGAGCGCCCACACAATGAACCAATCCAGCTCCGAGGGCGGCTGGAACTGGCCGGAGCTCCTCCTGAATCCACGACGCAGCCCGCGACTTGCTGCAGCAACCTGGAGGGGCGCTCGTGGGGCCGAACCGATCGGGCTCCGCGTTCCAGTCCCCCCCACGATCCACAGCTTGCCCGAGTTCACGAGCGCCGCGCCGACCTCCCGCGGGATGCTCTTGCTGCTCTTGCTGACGTCGTCGTTGTCCAGGGGCGCCGAGCCCGGCATGAAGTCGCCGTGCGCCAGCCCACTCATGCGGGTGGTGGTCGCCCTGCCCGCGCCGATGCGGCAGGTGACCTTGATGGTGCCCATTCCAGGGCACCGCCGCCGCAGCCACCTGCGCATCCTCAGATAGGCCGCCTAAGATCGTAGAAAACGGCCCCGATCCGCTCCCGTTGAGACACGCGATGCTGAGATCGCTGCCGCCTGGCAGACCGCGCGCCGCGCCTGCGCGCGGGAAGCGTGCGAGGTCCTTGCAGTTGTTTGTATCGGTGAGCCTTCCGAAGAGCAGCAGCAGCAGCAGCGCCGCTGGGTCCACTGGGCCTGGAGGTGTGCTACCTTCACCTTCGCCAAATGCTGCTTGTCCTGCCGCCTGCTCGTCGTCGGAGGCGACGATCTTGTCCACCGCCCCCCAAAGCCTACTTTTTCGAGTTGGACTTCCGCTTCGGAGCCGCTCTCCCCTCCTCCTCCTTCTATGCCGCCTCTTCCTGCATCGACAATGCTTTGCGCAATCCCTCGTAAGTTGCGCGCTTGCTGCCCCCATCGTGCTGCGCAGCCTAGTGTCGTAAGTGGCTGCCCGGTGTGCCTCAGAGCGCGGCTCGGCGTGGGGGCCGTCGCCCACTCCCGCGTTGCTTGCTGCCGTTCCTGCTGCCAGGGTCGCTGCCGATCCTCCGCCACCATCGCTGCCGACATGTTGTCCCCCCCTCCGCTCCTTGGTCAGCTTGCCGAACAAACCGTCGATGAGAACCTGGATCTCTTCCTCGATCGCAATGCTTTGCGTGCGCTTCCCGTCCAGCTCGGATTTCTTGTTCTGTCGGTTGAACACGTCCTTCTCGGTCGTGTCAATCTGGTTCGCTGGCGTCTCCGTCGTTCTCTTCTGCGAGCGCAGCTTCTTCTCGAGTCCCCCGGAGTGCACCGACGTAGGCTTCGCGACCGCGATCTCCGCCGTAGCTGCGTTCCTTCGTGACGTTTGGCGCCCAAGACTGCTTCCATCCCTTCCACGACCCCGAGTCTGTCGATCTCGTTGCGTAGCCTGCCAAAACGTCGGGCTCGTTCACATTTGCCTTGGTGCGGCCCCCGTGCACCAGGACTGGGATATGATTCGAGCTTATTGAGTTTCTTTCGCTGCTGGTTGAGTTTGTGCCGTTCCACAACCGAAACAAGTGCGATGTTCCACTCCACCAATCGTATCCACAATCGTGACACACTTGCGTTGAGCCCCAATGCCTTCGATTGCAATCCGCCTACCTGTCCGCCGCCTCCTCCGCTGTTGCCGCCGTTGCCGCCGCCCCTCCCCTTGCCGCTTCCGCTTCGCCCCATCGGTCGAGCCTGCGCGCTGCACTCGGCTCCCGAGCGGGCGCTCGGTGCCAAGAGAAGGGTGGCCAATCGATGGTAAAGGAAATGAAACTGTGGCCTCGCAGGCCGCGCTGATAGCTGAAATCTCTTGGAAACTGACCCCAGGAGTGACGCGACGGCTGGGGCCAGCCCCATGGACCAGACACCTGCCCTGACTCGCGCCATCTTCAGCCAAATGGCTTGAGCCAAATTGGCTCCGGATGATGAAGGAGGGACGAGATGAGGAGGAGCGAGGTGGAGAGAGGATGGGCTCGAAGAAGGAGGGAGAGGATTAGCATGAGGGAGGATGAGGAGGAGAAGGGAGCGTGGAGGAGGAGGAAGAGGGACAACGATGAGGAGGAGGAGGAGGAGGAGGAGGAGGAGGAGGAGGAGGAGGAGGAGGGGAGCGACGATGAGAATGAGATGTGGGAGGAGGCGGAGGTGGACGACGATAAGAAACGAGGGAGGCCAGCTCCCGCGCGCAGAGCCAGCGGCTGCGACGGGGGGGGGGGGGCACCTCAGTGGGGAGCACTACATGTGTCCAGCGGCTCCGATGGCCCATGTTTTCGACGATGCTCCTCGGCGAGTGCGCGTAACGCACGCCGTTGGGCTATCCACCCCTTGTGCCTCCGCCGGCGGAGGTCCTCGGAAACGACATTGAAGCCGGTGTCCCTGGCGAGGTCGCTCTGCTCCGACTGCGACTCCAAGCGGTCCAGCTGAGCGATCCAGTCCTCACCCCACTCCCCCTCCCCCCCCTCCTCCTCCTCTTCCTCCTCCTCCTCCTCCTACTCCTCCTCCTCCTTGTCCTTCTCCCCTGCCTCCTCCTCCTCCTCCACCTCCTCCTCCTCCTCCTCCTCCTTCCCAGCCTCTTCCTGCTCCGTCCCCGTCCTCCTCATTTCACCTCCTCCTGCTCCTCCTCATTCCCTCTCCTCCTCCTCCTCCTCCTTCTCCTCCTCCTCCTCCTTCCCCCATGCCACTTCTGCTCCTTCTCCTTTTGCTCCCTTTTTGCTCCTCACTTCACCTTCTCCTCCTCCTCGTTCTCCCTCGTCCTCTTCCTCCTTCCCCTCCTCCTTCGAGGGGTCGTCGTCCTCTTCCGCCTCCGTATCCTAAGGCGCCATCTCGACAAGGTGATGCCCACATTCTTAAAGGGTAAGCAATCGATGGGGTCCCAACCATGTTTGGCGGAGTGAACCTGGGATGCTCACTGCATGTTCCGCTTCGCTGCCTGACGCCGCAAACTACCTAGCTGGGGTCAATCACGGAACGATCTTACCCCAGGCGGGGCCATGTAGCCCGACGTCTCCCGGCCCCTTCGCGGGAACCTCTAGCTAAGCGATCCAGTCCTCGCCCCCTCTTCCTCATTCCTCCTCCAGGGGATGCCCGCTGCCTGACACGACCTCCGCGATCAAAGCCGAAGCGGCGCATGGCCTGCCTCTCGCCCCGCCGTCGGATTGAACGATCAAGCTGCATGATCGTAAAGACTTCCTACTCCTCATTGTCCTCCTCCTCCTCCTCCTCCTCTTCCTCATCCAACTCCTCCTGCTCTCCTCTTTCGTGCGGCCCTCCCCTCTCGTTACAACCTCCTCCATGTCCTCCTCCTCCTCCTCCTCCTCATTCTCGTCGTCGTCGTCGTCCTCCTCCTCCTCCTCCTTCCTGGGGCCCTCCCCTCGCTTCTCTTGACTCTTCCGGTCGCCCAGCGGGCGCGCAGGACGGCCTCGCTGGCGGCGGCTGGCGGGCCCCAAAATTCTCACCGCGCCCGCGGCCCAGGGAAGGTCCTCCTCCTCCTCCTCCTCCTCCTCCTCCTCCTCCTCCTCCTCCTCCTCCTCCTCCTCCTCCTCCCCCTCCTCCTCCTCTTCACTTCCTTCGTGGCGCGCTGCGTCCTGTCCATGATTTTCGGCGAGGACGACCTCGCGGTCGGGGGGCGGTGGCGGCGAGTTGCCAGCTACTGTCGGGGGGCGTGGAGCGCGCTGCGCGGCCAATAAGGTTTGCTACATGGGAAGAGCGATTGCGGCAGTGCCTGCGCGCAGAGCACGACGTAATGCGCGAAGTAATCGTCGACAATTCTGCGTGGGAAGCAGCGGAGCGCGACCAGAAATCGATGCGCAAAGCATGTCGTGCATCTTGTCGCAGGTCCCGATGCGCGCGGGGGAGCTGATTGGAGAGGACACGCGAGAGAACTTCCTTTGACGAGCAAGCCCAGCACAATCGCAAGCGTCCGGGGGTGGCGCCCGACTCCGTCGGGCACCATGGGGAGCTGCGCTGCACGCCGCGCCGCCAGTGCCGCGAATTCGGACACGCTGCACCCGGCGCAGCGCACGTCGTGCATCAGGAGCAGGGCCTGCCCACGCGCCGGCAGCCGCTCCCAGACACGCGAGAGGACACAATACCCTCTCGGAGGGCTACACTGCCGCAGGAAGGTGGAAGGCACGGGTCGCGAAACACTGGGCACGAAGGTACTCTTGATTTGGAAGGGTCCACCTACTAACCAGCCTCGACTGTACTGTCGCTCAGCGTGGCGCTGCCGCAGAGGACCGGCGGGATAGCGTAGCCAGTAGTTGAGCTGGGCTGGCCCTCGCAGCGGTGGACACGCGTGCTGGCAACAAGGTCTCGGCTGGAGACGTGCAGTCGGGGCTTGGAGTAAGGCGCGTAGACGTTTCCGTAGGTCATGCCCTGATCTGGGCGGAATTGGCCGCGAACTCCATGCGCTTTGCAGACGATGGTTGCATTGGGGACCTACTTGGAGAATGTGTGCTTGACAGTCGATTTGATGTTGGAAACCTCCGCGCCCATCCAGTACGACGGGTTCGTGCCGCTGGCCACGTAGATGTAACCCGCGGCTTAAAATCGTCAAGCCATCCCTTGAAACACACCTTCCTATTGCAAGCTCCCTAGCAGACCAGCGGAACGGTGGCGGCCATGGCGCTGAGCAGCCGAGGTGGCGACGGGAACGGACAGCTGTTAGCTGAAGCAGCTGGCAGCAGGCTCGAGCCGGGGCTGCGACAAGCGATGGATGGCCAACGCTTGGCGACGAGGAGGCCAAGTGTGAAGACAGCACCATCTTCCGCCAATCGCAGAGAAACAAGAATCCGAACCACACATGACGCTGCGGTGGCGACCGGGAGCATCTGCTGGCGGCGGCCACTGGTGGGCGCCGCGCCACGCTGGCGCTCGCCTGGAGAGCGCATCGACGCCTTGGCAGCTAGCTGCGACGGCCGCTCACCGCGGCGTTTGGGGGTGCGCTCGCAGCCGCGCGGCGCGCGCGGGTCGCGGCTGGGTGCCCATCTGGGGGAGGCGGCGGCCGACGATGCGGGTTATCGGGCTGCGCCACTGTGGCGGTGTAGTGCCCTCGGAGTCCTTGTTGATCGCGGAGATACCGGAGGCCATACTCGTCGTTGCAGATGGCCTCGTAGGATGTAACCGCGTCCTGAAATCTTGGCCTCGCAGACGTAGGTGCGGACCACGCGGACTAGCTCAGCGGGGGTGGTGCGGCCAGGCGGTGGCCCAATTTGAAAGGCCGTGTATGGCGGCTTGATCCTGCCGCCGCCTGAGTCCTTAGGGCACTGCGGGACGAGGACCACGATGCCGTTGGCGGTGTCCTCGTCAGCAAACAGGTCGGCGGAGCTTGGGGAGCGCCAGCACTGGTCTGGGCCTCGTCGCCGTAGTGTGGCCGCCCGTGGTAACGAGCCGCGCAGCTGTACCACCTGCGTGGGGGGCCAGGCGGGAGGCCCACCGAGCGGTGAAAGGCAGTGCCTGTGGCTGGCGGGTGCGCCCGCAGAGCCGGCGCTGGCTGGGATCCTTGGCAGCTGGGCGGGGCTGCCGGCCGCGCGGGCGAGGGCGCTGGGGCGGCCGCAGGGGCAGGGGCGCCTGCCAAGGGCAGGGAGGTGAACGTCTCGCTCTTGGGACCGCGCGCATCGGGGCCTGGCTGGCCCTCGCGGCGAAGACGGACATGCATCGTCTCATCTCCGGACACGCGGTCGCGCCTCGAAGCCAGTGCGTAAAGCTCATGCGCCGCGCTGGACCCCTCGAAGTCCAGGCGACTGCAGTGGCCGCGCTGCTGCTTCTTGCCACGCTGTTGCTTCTTGCCGCGCTCCTTGGCACCCCGACCTTCGCCAGGCTGTGCCTCAGTGACGCGGCCTCAGCACTTACTGGAGCAGAAACCATGGCAAACGTGCTCGTCGAGGTCGCTGTGAGCGCTATGCTTGCAGGGATCCTCCTCTCCGTCCCCCTCCGCATCCTAGCCGTCCCCCTCGGGCGAGGTGACGCCCGAGTTCCTGGATACGCAGTCGGCGGCGTCTTCAGCATGCCCCATGGCTTGAAACTGCGGTGCGCTCTGCACGTCCCGCTCGCTCCCCTTCGCCGCGAATTGCCTGGCTGGGATCAAGAACGGAGCGATTCCGCCCCTCGTCGGGCCATGTAGCCCGACGTCTCTGGGCGGCCCCCCGGGGGGCCGCGCGCCAGGGGGAGAGGGCCACGGGCCATCAGCTGCACTCCCTGTGCGGGCGACGCGCGGGGCCCCGACCCTGCTGCCAACAGGGCGGGGTGGACGGGCTCGGGTCAGGCGGGCAGCTGCCCAAGTGGCAGCGTGGCAGTCCACCCTCGCTCCGAGGGCGCCCGTGCCTGCTGCATCCGCCCCCGCAGCCCAGTCGGCGCCTCTCTGGCCGACCCCCGCCCCGACGACCGCCCCCGCCCCCGCTTCCCCCCTCGTTTCCTGTTCTCTTGCCCGCTTGCTGCCGCTGCTGGCCCCCCTCCCTCTTTCCTCCCTCTCCTCCCCCTCCGTGCTGCTTCACGTGTGGCCGGGACCAGCGGAGATGCCACGGCTTAACTCTTTCAGGCGCTGTCGGAGGCGCCACCCGCCTCTGGGCCACCTTTGCCCACGCGGTGGCGGAAGCGGTTTGTGGCGTGATGTCGGGGCTCAATTCTGAGGATGTCCGTCCAATCAGCACTGTTGGGGCCCACGCCAGTTAGAAACGGGAAGTGGCAGAACGGACAACTCGAGGTGGGCACACGCGTCATGAGCTGCAAAGTGCTGGCACCCACCGGCAGCAGGCCAGGACCACCGCGTGCGAGGAGGCAGTGGTAGCAGGCAAGAGGGGGCGCTCGCTGGCTGCAGGCTCCGGGAGGAGGCCAAACCCGACGTTGTCAGCAGAAGAGCCTGGGCCGCAGCGTGCGGGGCAAGGCAAGAGGCTGCACCTGGCCATCGCTCGGACGTCCATTCCCTGTGCTTTCTTCGGTTTCGTGCATGGGTTTTTCGCAGGATGATCCAGGATGCTCCTTAATTCGCTAGCCCAACGGGCCAGAGGCGTGCTAAGATCTCCGGTAACTGGTTAAGAATAACTCTATACTTCGCGCGCGCGGAGCGGCCCCTGGGGGTCCCAGGCCGGAAAGTACCCCGGCAAGGTCCCCGGACACTCCCGGCAAACCCGGGTCAGAGATGGTTTTCCTCCTGGGTGCGGCCTTCCACGCTCCCCGGAGCGCGCCAAGAGGGCCCCAACAGGCTTCCAAGACGGTCCAAGAGGGTTCCGAATCACCGAACGATCGGCCCAAGACGCCCAACACGGTCTCAAGACGGCCCAAGAAGCTTCCAAGACGTCCCAAGAGAGCGCCGACCCTTTCCAAGAGAACCCCAAGAGGCCAAAATCATTAATTTCCATTGGGTTTTTCAAGGGTTTTGGCTTCCTCGCCTTTTCGCGTTTCCGACGCTCCAAGACGGCCCATGAAGCCTCCAAGACCACCCCAAGAGAAAGGCGACAAGGGGCCCGAAAGAGACCCCAAGAGGCTCGACAACGACTCCCGAGAGTCTCCAAGAAGCCCTCGAGAGGCATCCAACGAGATCCCAATGAACGTCCACGAAGCCTCAGAGCGCCAAAACCATTGATTTCCATTGGGTTTTTCAAAGTTTTTGGCTTCCTCGCCTTTTCGCCTGTCCGACGCTCCAAGAGGGCCCAAGAAGCTCCACCCCAAGACGGCCCAAGAGGCCTCCAAGAGAGGCCCACGACCGTCCAAGAGAGCCCCACGACAGCCCAAGAGGCGCCCAAGACGGTCCAAAAGGACCCCAACAGGGCCCCAAGAGGGGCCCAAGATGGAGACCACGAACCGAACATCCGAGCCTTCCGCTCCAAGAGGCCTGCTGGACGCCCCAAGAGGCCCCCAAGAGGCCCCAACAAGCGACAAGGGGCCCGAAGAATGCAAAAAGGAAACTGCAGAATGTTGTCTTGTTCCCTGCGATCGTATTCACGAGCCGCCACCTTCCGAAACAGAAGGTTCAGGCGGGCAAAGAATGGTTCCCGCCTGCGAAATCACCCCAAGCCAGCCAGCCATAAACAAAAAAACGACCCAGCAGCACCCCATTGACAACGATAACACGGGCACTCGACAGCCGTGCACCAATACGGGCCGGCGGAATGAGCGAAGCGATGAAATAATCCCCGCCGAGAAAAAGTGCACACATCCGAGCGATACCAAGGCACCAGGCTGACACCACCGCGTGCGGGCCGGCAGGTAGTGCCAGCAGGTACAGGAATGCGGACGGCGGCCTCGCGTGAGGGGGCGGAGGCGAACCCAGCGTTCTCCGCTGCAGCGCCAGGGCCACCGCCGCGTGCGAGGCGTGCAGGCCCTGGCAGCAGGCTGTTGCCACCGTGTGTGAGGAGGCGGGCGGTGGCGGCAGGCGGGAGAAGGCGGGCCACGGCGCCTGCGGCGATCGGGCCGCAGCGTGCGAGGACGGCTGGCCACGGCAGCACGTTGGGACCACCGTGCACGACGACGACGGATTCCTCCTCCTCCTCCTCCTCCTCCTCCTCCTCCTCCTCCTCCTCCTCCTCCATGGCAGAAGGTGCAGAGCGGTCGCCGGCGACGGGGCGAAGCGCAGCCCAGCTCCACCGGCTGCGGCCGCCGAGCCACCGCGCGCGACGCAGGCAGGCCGCGGCGGCGGGCTGGGCCGTCGCGCGCGAGCCGCGAGCAGCGGCAGCACACGGGGACGCACGCCCGATTGCAAAAAAACCCTGGATTGCAAAAAAAAACCTGGATTGCAAAAAAGAAGGATTGCAAAAAAACCCAATCCTTCTTTTTGCAATCCTTGTTTTTTTTGCAATCCTTCGTTCAAGGGGGGCGCCGGCAACTGCGGCCAGCGAGCTCGAGAGGGGCGCGCCGCAGAGGCGGAAGCGGGCGCGGCGCACCAGGCTCGGGGCCGGGGCGGCGTCGGCCAGGCCGCGCAGAGCGGAGCGCGCGGGAGGGGCGAGCAGCGGCGCCGCAGTGGGATCGGGGGCCCGCCACTCGGACCAGCGCGTGCGGGACACTGGCACTGGCAGCGTGGACGAACAGTCTGCCCAGCGCGTGGAAGCCCGGCATCGTCAGGCATCAGCCCCTGCGGTGAGGCCGCTTTGGGGATCGAGGCGTGCCATGATAAGTGGGGTCCAGATTCGTCGATTGACACGTGGGAAGTGGCTTCTCCACATCGCTGAGGGATGGATTGGGTTGTTTGCGACTCCCACTCGCAATCGTCAATCGGGTAAGTCCTGGTTATCGACTTGGCTCGGTCTGCTAATCCTCTGATGATCCTCCGTATGCTCCTCCTTCTCGCACACTCCTCCTCATCTTCCTCTTCCTCTTCTTCGTCTTCCTCCTACTCCTCCTCACCCCTGGTCCTGCTCGACGTCGCTGTCCCAGTCGCCGGTGTCGTCCGCGGACACAGAGGCTTGCTCCAGCCTCGGGGTACCCTCGCTACGATCTTTTCTCCTCCTCCCCCTCCCACCTTCTCTCTCCTGCCCCTCTCCCCTCCTCCCCGCTGTTCCTGTTCCTCTCCCTCGTCTGCTCCTCCTCTTCCTTCCCCTCCTCCCCCTCCTCCTCCTCCTCCTCCTCCTCCTCCTCCTCCTCCTGAGCGGTCTCCTCTCGCAACCCTCCCCTCGTTTTTGTGACGGCACTATCGTCTCTTAAGATACGGAAGCACTGAACGCACATATCAATCGTACCCGAGGTTTCGTGCAACACATGGGAAATCACAAGCGCACCTCAGTAAACCCGTCACGTGGTCTTGTTGCGACACAGCCTGGGCAGCTCGAGTTCCAGCTCGGGTTGCAATCTACACCATGCGCCCCATCCTCCTTGACAATTCTCTCCGCACAACTGCATTCAATGCAAGGACGAACAACCAAGGAACCCGAATCCCCGATGCCATGTCTGTTCTTCTCACGTCTACTGGCCGCGTAGAGGGATGCCCTCAAAATCTTGGCTCTCAATTGGCCTGGAATGCGCAAGGGGGTCGTGAGGACCACCCCACCCCCGGTTTCCGGGTGGACTCGTGATTTAAAGTCGGAACTAGGACAGAACACGAGGCCCTCCGCTGGCCAAAACGCACAAAACATCCGAGGGCACCCTCCCCAGGATGCACAAGAACATCCGACGACCACGAACAGCGCTGGGGCACCCTCCCCGAACAGACCACGATCTTACATGCCTCGGTCCCGCTGCACTTGCGCGCTCCGCTTCCCTTGCGCGCAGAGTTTCCCGACCCGGCAAATCCTCGGGCTCTCCACGTGCCCCCCCCCCCCCCCTTGGGGCCGGGGCCAGCCCAGAAGCCTCGGATTGCAGGCCAAGCAGGGTCTCTGAGCATCATTCCCCAGTGCGGCCTGCCTGGAGGGCTCCGACCCGCTTCTGGAGATCCAGTGCCTGGTGCCCGGCTGCCTTCCTCGGGTTGCCCAGGTGCCCCGGTTGCCTGGTTGCCCAGGCTACCTTCTTGCCTGGGTTGCCCAGGTTGCGCGGCTGTCTGGTTGCCCAGTCAATGTCAAGCAACGGCGAGTAATGCAAGTTGGCGCCAAGCAGCGCCAAGCAACGCCAAGCAACGCCGAGCAACGCCAAGCAATGCCAAGAAATGCCAAGAAATGCCAAACAGCGCCAAGGCAACGCCCAGGTGATGCCAAGCAGCGCAATGCAGAGCCACGCAATGCCAAGGCATGCCATAAACAATGCCTAGCACAACCAACCAGTGTCAAGCAATGCCAAGACATTCCAAGCGATGCAAGGCAATGCCAAGCCATGCGAACAACCAGGCAATACCTTCCTTGCTCAGTTTCTTACTTGGGAAGCTTTCCCCGAATTGGGTCGCGCCAGGTTCATGTCGTTCGGCCTAGCGACCACCCAACGCGCCCCAAGACCGGGGAGACGTAAGACTCGGTTTAGGGGGACTCGGGTTGGCCTGACAGGGCCATCATGAAAATGACGAGACCCAATCTGAAATTTCACGCGAGCTCCCGCTGCAAGCATCCCTCGAAAGCTGGGCCGTCAAAATCCAAGTCGCGCGCTCGTCAAAAAGCTTCGGCAGACCCGAGTTTCGGCCTACTCGAGTCTTACGTTTCCCCGACAAGAGGCCCCGCAGAGAGCCCCGAACGGAGCTTCCAAGGAGGGGCCAATGACTGAGCATTTTCTTAGGGTGGAGGGCTCAGGGTGAAATCCATATGGGCTTTTGCACCTCGAAAAACCCTTCGTCTCGTGATTCACCTTTAGCAAGCTCAAGCCTCGAAGATCTATCACTACCGAAACGGCATTTCAGATTTCACCCTGTGCCCTCCACCCGAAGAACATGCTCGGAACGAGGCCTTCGAGACGGCCTCCAGAGGGAGGGGTCCGGACGGAGGGCCGCGAGACCGGGTCCCAGGAGCACGGCCCGCCCACTCGGCTACACGGAAGAGTGACCCCACGGCAGGTCCGTGTCGTGCCCACCCTGGCGTTGGTTTAAGTCGGGCGTGCCCCCCTACAGAGGGATTTTCGATGAAAAATAAAAAATACTCCAAGAATAATCAAAGGATGCCCAAAAATACTCCAAAAATAGCCCCCCAGACAATTTTTTGTTGACATTTTTTGACTATTCCCCCTGTGGAGGGACAGGCCCGACTTAAGCGTTTGTTCCTGCCGCCGCGGGGATCGCTCAACCTTGAACGATCGGCCGTCTCTGAGCATCGTTTATCCGATTCCCATCCCCAGCGGCGTGGCCTGGGCCTCACTGGCCGATTTATCCCCCTCGTTGGGGATGTAGGCCGCCCCCTTCGGGTTTGGAGGGGTGTCTCCCCGACTGGGGTGGTAATGTGGTGGGGGCCTCGACGGAGATGAGGATGGGGACGGGGGTCGGTGAAACGGTACAATACTGAGTCTCCGAAACGTCAGGTCGTTCAACATCGACCGACTCTTGGTCGCCAGCGGCGCTCAACGTCGAACGCAGGCGGCGGGGTTGCCGCTGGTCGACACTGCGCGAACCTGCCGTGGGCAACAGGGGCCTGTGCTGTGCGGCTTTGCGGGGCCGAGGGGGGCAGGCTCCAAACGTGCAGGCCAGTGCTGGGGGCACCCGCGTGAGTTGGCGGTGCGCGCAAGGGGGCGGAGGGAGGGGGGAGGGCCTCTCAGCCCTTCAGTCCTCAATGGTCCTCTGGAGGTCCTGAAGTCTGGTTCACAATCAAGGCTTGGTCGAGCGCCCCGACTTGCTCGACTGGCACTGTTTCTGGCTCGGGCACGGCTACCTCATTTCATGGTCTTTTACGCCGTGCCCGAGGCGCCTGCCTTGCTCGCCTGCTGTTGCAGGCGCCCCTGACGCCTCGAGCGCTCGCTCCCGCGGCATGCCTCAGAAAAAGGGCCTCTCAGAAGGAAGCTGCTTCTGAGAAGGCGCCGGCCTCACATCTGTAGACGAGGCCCGCGCCTTCTAAGAGGCAGGGGCGCTTCCAAGAAGCCCTCCCCCCTCCCCCCGCCCCCCTCTGCGCGTGGCTGAGTGAGCTCTTGGGCGCGAATCAGTGGGGGGACGATGAATGGGGGGCAAGAAAGGCGCCCTTGTTGGGCCCCAGAGGTCCCCTCTGGGGCCCGAAGGGGCCCTATGAGGGCCCTCTATTTATCGCCCCCTATTTATTCGCGCCCGAAGCCCGTGGCCTACCACAAGACCGTCTGAGATCTCTACTCCGGACCTTGTTGACATCCACCTCCATCCCTAACATCTGCTCAGAGGCTTTGACATTTTTTCTCCAACATGTTCTGCTCGCACTCCTCTTTCTCCAGCTTAATTTGCAGCAGCTTGTTCACAATATGTTTCCCCTATCTTGAACGCATCCTCCGGCGCCTTGGGCCCATTCTTGCTCAACAAAGCTGAAAGGCCCGCCGAATTAGCTCATGCGTTTTCGGCGCGGTCATGTCGATCGCCAATGAGGCCCGCTTCTCGTTGTCGGCGCGCGCCTTACTCGGCTCATTATCGCTTGCATACGCACGAGTTGATAATCCTTGAGCTCCAAATTCAATTGCACCACTTGGGCGGCCAGTTCGCCCCACTGCTGGACATATAGCAGCTGAACATCACCGTCCCTGGACTCTGCCGTCTTCATTCATGGCTCCATATCAGGCCGGCATCGGACTGCTTGTGCCTGGAGCCGGCGGCCTGAGCAACTCCCGGCTGGCTTCTCAACCCACCGTTCTCCTTCACCAATTGGTCGATGAGCTCGGCAGCTTCGTTCTGGTCAGTTCTCCCCCTCGGCAAGGTCATCAGGCTCCACATCGCAGGGACAGTAGATCCCGCTCACCATCGTCATCAATCGCTGCTCCCCTTGCGCAACTTTTCCGTCAGGCACTCAGCGTGCGAGGGTCCAGCCCGACGCGGAGCCATTGTCGTTCCTGCTGTGTAGCTTGCCAAAGAATGACCTGCAGCTCCGCTCAGGACCAACGCGTTCTTGAGCCGATGTGGCTACGGTGGCTACGGTGGCTACGGTGGCGACGACGATAACGACGACGACGACGACGACGACGACGACGACGACGACGACGACGACGACGACGACGACGACGACGACGATAACGACGACGACGACGACGGGGAGGAGGGAGGGGGGCGCAGTGGGAAAGCTTGACTGGCGCGTGCGGCGAGGGCCCCCGGAGCCTCGAGCTCGCCGCGGGGTCCGCGGCCAGGCGCCCGACGCCGGCGAAGCCAGCCTGGGCGCCCCCCCCGAGGCTGCCCTCCGCGTCGAACGCCGACTGGAGCATCCGGAGGTCCTCCAGGGAGGCGCGCTGGGGCTTCGCCTTAGGAGGCGCGGGCGCCCACCACCCACAGTCGGTGGTTCAGAGATGGGGTCCTGAAGGATGGGGTCCTCAGGACGAGGTGCCTCGAGCAACGTAAGTCCACCCTTGGATTTAGGTTAATCCCATCGCACTTGCGGACCACATCCCAAACATTTTTTTCCGAGCACCCCGAAGAGTCTTGAAATAGTGTCGAGCGAGTATCGCCTGCCAGGACCCGACATGTGAAAACCCTCAAGCTTCGCCACTTGCTTGGTGCTCGAAATTCTTTCTGGCGGTCAAGGCTAAAGTAGGTTGTAACATCATAACTTTGGATCCCTTTCTGCCCTCAGGCCCCCATTGCACGGTTTCCCCTGGGGCCGTAGGCGACCCGAGGAGGAGGAGGAGGGAGGAGGAGGAGGAGGAGGAGGAGGAGGAGGAGGAGGAGGAGGAGGAGGAGGAGGAGGAGGAGGAGGAGGAGGAGGAGGAGGGAGGAGGAGGGAGGAAGGAGAGAAGAGGAGGAGGCGGAGGAGGAGGAGGAGGAGGAGGAGAAGAGGAGGAGGAGGAGGGAGGAGGAGAGAGAGAAGAGGAGGAGGAGGAGGAGAGGAGGAGGAGGAGGAGGAGGAGGTGGAGGACGGGTCGCTGAGGCCCGCCCGCGGCCCGGGCCCCCGTTGGGCAGGGCCTCCGGGCCTGGCCGCGGGGCCGAGCCTCCATGCCGCGGCCTGGGCCCCGGCCGCGCCCCCCCCCCCCCCCCCCCCCCCCCGCGGTGGGCCCCGCGCAGTGGTTGAGGTCGGTCTCCTACCAGAGCTCCTCCTCCTCCTCCTCCTCCTCCTCCTCCTCCTCCTCCTCCTCCTCCTCCCCCCTCTTGCCGGGCTTCGGCCAGGCGCCGGGCTGCGCAGGAGGGGAAGAATTTCTTGGTGAGAGATGATGCTTGCTTTCTCTACCTCACTCGAGCTGTAGGCGAGCTGCGGAGCTGAGATGCACACCAGTCGGCAGGAAATGCCGAGGAGCGCCAGTCTAAAGTATCTAGACGCCCGAGATCGGTCTGCTACCAGAGCTGGGCTCCCCCCTTGCACGTCGGTCGGACGAAGTGGGTAGAAGCATGAAGTAGTAAGGCGGATATAGTGGATTGGGTCCAGGTCCTCCCAGAGAATAACAAAACGCAGCCGAAGTAGGAAGGCGCTTGAAGTAGATTGGGATCTGGGAATCCAGAAATACTTACTTTCAACGACCGGCGTGTAGAGGTGTCCAGCTGAAAGGGGGTGGTGCAGCAGACTTGGGGCAATCGTATTGCAAATGTACTGCGCCAGAGACTGGTATTGCGCTGTATTGCGAGTAATGTATTGCGCGAGGAGCCTCCAGCAGTACATGTGCGCCCAGGAAGGTATTGCACGCCCCGATATTATTGCAACCCCACAAATCTATTGCACCCGATCTATTGCACCACCCCCTTGTCGCTGGACCCCCTTTTGGCTCCCCCCTCAGGGGAGCGAGCACTGACATAAACATAAAAACTCGAAGGTCCGCGCGGATTTCTCGGATCGGTGCTGGACCGCCCTGGCGGCGCCTCCAGCGCCGCCCCAGCGCGCCAGGGAGGGGGGCCCAGCGCGGATCCAATACATCCGCGCGGACCTCCGAGTTTTCAATGTTTATGTAATTTTTTGTTACCCTACCCCTCGCGAGGGCCTCGGGGTCCGCCAGCCCCATCCTCTTCTTCAGCTTCTGCCGCTTCCTCCTGTTGAGCTGCTGCGTCGTCCTCCGGGAGAGTGGGGTGCGGGCGGGCAGAGGCGACGCACTGGTGTGGGACTCCGCTGGCCTCCGTTTGGGGGGAGGCTCCCCCTGTCCGTCTCCTTCCCTCCCCTGGCGAAGCACATGGGGGCCGGGGAAGATGCGAAGGAGGAGGAGGAGGAGGAGGAGGAGGAGGAGGACGAGAAGGACGAGGATGAACTCCTCCCTCGAGCAAGTGGAGGGGGGAGGGAGGAATGAGAGGCGGGGGAAGGAGGAAGGAGGAGGAGGAGGAGGAGGGGGAGGAAGGAGGAAGGGGGAAGGATGAGGCGGAGGAGGAAGGAGAAGGAGAAGGAGGAGGAGAAGGAGGAGGAGGAGGAAGGAGGAACGAGGAGGAGGAGGAGGAAAGAGAAGGACGAGGAGGAGGAAAGAGGAGGAGGAGGAAGGAGTGGACGAGGGAGGAGGGGGCTCCTGGACGACTGCTCGCCAGGCTCCGAGTCGGCCGCCGCCTGGCCGAGGAGAGCCTGCGGCTGGCCCGGGACGGCCTCCGGGACGAGGGCAGCGGCAGCGGGGAGGGGGCGGGCTGGGGGGATCAGGTGGCCGCATGTGAAGCCTGCAGTCGGACTCGATTGGTCAGGACACGCGAGGGGACACAAGACCCCTCCGAGGGCCACATTGCCATAGGGATGTAAGAAAGCCTGGGTCGGGAGACACAGGACACAAGGGTACCCTTGATCTGGCAGTGTCGACCTACTAATCTGGGCCGCCTGTACGGCAGGTTCGTGCGGCGTCGGCGCGCGCGCGAAGGTTTTCGACACCGCGTCGATCGTTCAGCCTTGAACCCATCGCGGCCCCGATGGTTCAAGGTTGAGTTCCGTCGGGTCCAGTGGCGTACCCGTGTCCCTCGGAGCTTCCCCGTCGCAGAATTCCACCTGGAACGCCTTCGCCTGCGTCGCCGGCGCGCCAATGCCGCGTGAACCTACCGTACCCCCGCCCCCCACGACTTCGAAGGGTGGGGTGGGAGTTCACTCCACTCGGGAGCTCCCGAACGAAGTGAACCCCCGCCCCTCCTCGGAAATCGTGGGGGGCGGGTGTAGGGTTCACATGTGGCCACCGAGGGATGGCAGGAGGTTGGGGGGGGGCGTGGAACCAAGATGTGCTCGCGTCGTGGAACAAAATGATGACGGGAGGATTTCGACTGCTCTCGGGCCCTGGGAGCCCTCGCTGGGGCCTGGGACCGCACGTCTCGGGATGAAGAACTGGTCTTGGAGAAAGGGTCGGGACTTCCGGGGATCCCGTATGGATGACATCTAAACATTGCATGTGGGGGAAGGGAGGAGAATACTGGTGGTGGGGGAGGGCAGCGGCATCAAGACTGTGGTGGTGGGGGGAGGGGGAGCAGGAGGGGGGAGGGGGGATGGGAGGAGGGGGCAACGCTTGAAAACTCGGAGATCTCTGCCCCAAAGAAGCGGACCAAGACGGCAAAGGGGTTGCAGCGAGTCCGAAAAGGCCAACTCTCTAGGGGATGCTGTGGATGGCAGGATCGCGCAGGGAACGGCCGGGCAGGCCTGGAGACGATTGGCGACATCTGCAGGCCCGCCCAGCCAAACAGTAGGGCAGAAGGCAGAGATTCCTCAGGAACTAAGGAGTTGGCTTATGCGGCGGATATGTTTTTTGTTTTTTTGTGGAGGGAGGAGAATGGAGAAGCACCACGAAGCGCCGATTGTCCCACCATAGCCCTGTGCACGTGCAAGGGGCGGCTGGGGCGGACAAATCCTGCCCCCCTCTGCAGACACAAGCCAACCAGGGAGCCTGGCTTATGCGGCGGAAATGGAGCAGTGGAGAGGGGAGGAGGCAGGGGAGGATGGGGGGGGCGGCGGCAACAAGAGGGGGAACTAGAGGGGAGGGAAGCTTGGCTGGGAGCCAGCGCGGACCCCCAGTGCGGAGCACCGACCCCCCAGGAGCAACCGCTGCTGCACCGAGGCTCGAACAGTGGTGGCTCCTGGGGCGGATGAGATTATGCCAGCCGGGGCATTTGGCAGCGCTGCCCAGGAATTCTGGGGCGAACGCGAGGTTGGAGGGATGAAAAGGAGGGGGCAGCAACAGCGGCAGGAATCAAATGGGAGGAAGGGGAGGGGGAGGGAATGTCCCGGTGCATCGCAGACCGTGCGGGTGGCAGGCGCCCCATGGCGCCCCCAAGCGGGACGAACAGTTTCGAACATCTACGCTGTTGCGGCAGTTGATAGGGAAGAAGAAGGAGGAGGAGGGGAGGACGGCTCCTCCTCCTCCTACCTCCTCCTCCTCCTCGCTCCTCCCTCCTGCTCTTCTTCCTCCTCCTCCTTCTCCTTTTCCTCCTCCTCCTCCTCCTCCTCCTCCTCCTCCTCCTCCTCCTCCTCGTCCTCCTGCCCCCCTCACTTTTCCTCTCCTCGCGCGCGCTCCCGCGCTCCCGCTTGCGCAGGGAAAAAGGGACAAGGTCGTTTCTCCGGGCGGGTAGTGGGGTTTCCCCGAAGTGGCCGATGGCATGATGCACCAGGACGCGCTCAAGCAGCACGGCGGGAGTGACCCCGAAAAACCCATCGCCTTGCCCGCTGGCAACTGAGGGAGGGGGAAGAGGATGCGGGGGGAGGAGGAGGGGGAGGAGAAGGATGAGGAGGATGAGGAAGATGAAGGGGAGGAGGATGAGGAGGAGGAGGAGGAGGAGGAGGAGGAGGAGGAGGAGGAGGAGGAGGATGAAGAATATGTGAAAACCTCAATAACATACACAAAATCAAACCAGCTTGTCACGGAACGGTGAGGTGACCTCGTCGCCGATGACTCGCTGCCCAGACGAGACGTAGCGTCCATTGTGCGATCCCGGATCGCAGATTGGGTCGACTGGCGGCTAGCGCGGCGTTGTTACACAGGCTTTCCCTGCTGTCACTAGGCGCTTGGATGTCCGCACCAATAGCGCACGTGCTGGCCAGGAAGGGCCGGGCCGCTCGAGCTCTCGACTGGGTGCCTTCAACAAGGCGCCCAACGCGTGGAAGCCGCAATGTCGCCGTTTGCAAGCTAGCATCTGCCGCGGCTTCGAAGTTCGCGCGGGGGCCGTCGACCGAGGGCGCCGCGTCGATGTAGCTACCCGCAAGATTCAACTGGTGGTGAACGGTGGGTGGGTGCTGGTTCAGGTGCCGTGCAGCCACCTCGCGGTGGAGCTCTGCTTCCAGGGCCTGGGCCCGCTCCGCGACTTTGCCGGGGGTGTTTTCCTGTCCGGAATTCCTGTCGAACTGAACTGTCTGGTCGTGCGAGGTCTCTAACTCCTCGGCCGCAGGAGCCGTGGAATTGCTGTCGTCGACAAGCGCGATGCTGAGCGACCCGGGGGCGATGCCGCCTAGTCCAGACGCGCATGGGAAGTTTGATGCCATCCAGTGAGAATAAGATACCTTGTAGGTGCCCGCCGATGCGTTGCAGGGGCGGGGGTAGGCGCCTCCCGTGCGAATGTGCCAGCTGGGTTTCGCGTAGAAATGGCGCCACACCTGTGCGATGTCCGCAGGGCAGCCAGCGTGGAGCGCAATGTTTACACTCGCGTCTGTAACGAAGTAGTCAAAGCATTTCTGTCTGTCCATTGCGGCGCCCGCCATCGGAATTTGGAGGTGCCGCGCGTGTTCGACCTGGAGTGCAAGCGTCGCGCTGACGTCGCCTGTGGTAGCGTGGGGGGCAGCTCCGAAACTGGTGGGGGCGGGTCCAGTGTGCTCTTCAAGATGCCAGGCTTCGATGAGAGGGTGCTTCCCATGCGTGCATCCACATGGGCATCGCGGACAGAAGCCTCTGATCCGTGGGAATATCACCAATGCCTTTTCGCTTGCATGGGTCAGGTATGTGGAGAAGCGGTTCATGCACTTCCCGCCCTTTGCATGGCGCGGAGCGTCTTGGCGAAGGCGCAGGACTCCGCCCCGAATCGTTTGGGCCCACTTGGTAATCCATCGGTCAGGAACCCTCGGTCTGGCGGCCAGTCTCGTCGCGATGAATCGGATGAGGTCGCCCTTGGAAATAAGAGGCTCGGCTGGTGCGGGCTCTGGAATTCCCCGGTGGCCCGCGGGCCCCCCGCGCGGGGGCGGTCTCGTTATCGCGGCCCCTTGAGGCGCGGCAACTGCCCAGGATGGGTTCCCGTGCGTCGATCTTTCCTGACCGGCGCGTAGTCGTCGTCACTGTCGCTGTCGGTCGCGCAATCGCTGGGCGCGGCGGTGGAGTCGGCGTCCTTCGCCGACTGATCCTCCCGCGCGGGTCCTCCGTCGGCGCCTGGCGGCGCGCATGGCGGACCGTTGTGAGGGGCGCGGAGATGATCGGTGCTGTCGTGATCGACGACTGTAACCCGCTTGCTTGCGGCTCCACTGCCGCCGCTGGCTCGCGCGCGGCTTTTCCAAGCCTTCTGCGGCGAGCTCGGTTGGCGACCGAGTTGCGTCGAGTAGCTTCGGTGGAAGCAATGAGGTCGTCTAGCTGCAGGTCAATCGGGAGCGCCCCGTGGCCCCAAATGTGCGGGAACTCGTAAATATTGGTGGGTCGGAACTGTTCCGTGAGCGCGTTCGCTGCGTCCTTGGCGCGCCTGATATTGCCCCGGAGGGCGGGGTGGCCGGCGCCGCCGTCGCCCGTGCGTCAGTGGTGGACAGCCGGGCCCTATTTGAGTGGACATGAGTCTCTTGGTTGGCTTGTCCAAAATATTTGCAGCTCTCAGTCAATGGCCCCGTGCGCTGGGCTGACCAGTGAGGCCGCGTGGCCGTCTCGAGAGGAAACGGTTCGCCGTGCCCGCCGACAGGCTTGTTTCGCTCTTGTGACGGGCTTCTGGTGCTCATTGCGGTGCTCGTGCGCCGCCTCATTGGCGATGTCGAAGGGCTTATCCACGCCGTCGGCCGTCGGCCGCGCCCGCGCGCGCGCGGCGGCCCTGCTCGACGGGGCCGCCGAGAGCCGCCCGCGGCTGGATGGGCGAACGGGCGCGCCATGACCGCCGCCATTCTTCTCGCCAATTGTCCGGAGGAGGAGGAGGAGGAGGAGGAGGAGGAGGAGGAGGAGGAGGGCCACTTCCACGTTGGGAGAGGCTCGCGGACCATGGCGTTGCCTGGCGTGGGGGTCGCGGAGCAGGACAAAGTCGGGCGTTAGTGAGCGCGTGGTCTGTGCGGGCCCTCGCCGTCCCTGGCGCTCTTCGGTCCCGGTCTAAATCTTGGCCGCGGGCGGTTCGCCCGGGTGTCCGACGGCGACGTTTGACCGCCCCAGATTGCAGATCTGGGCCACAAGAACTGAATATAACATGATCTGTCGCTCTGGGCGCCCATGCAGATGAAGTGCGGCGCGCCCCCGTGCCCTGTTGGCGGCTTCCCGCGCCTGGTGGAAAGTGGAAGAGCGCGCTGATGTCCGCCGCCGATCTGGCCGCGAAGACGCCGTTGGTTTGGCGGTTGGAGCCCTCCTGCCTCTCCAGCAACGCCTAGTGGGGCTCGGAGAGGGCGCGCGGCGGCGGGCTTCAATCCATCGCGCGGTCGCGGGGAGGGCCGACGCGGCAGGGTTCGTCCTCGGTTGTGT